AGGTTCTTCCCCACTACGTCTGCCTTCTGGGTGTGTGCATCCTTATTCCCGGGGTGGCGCTTTTTTAAGGCGCAAGTATACGCTACCCATGCCCCACGCCGTCTTCCCGTATCTGGGATAGAGAATGTCCTCTGCCTTCTTGTTTATCTGGAGGACTGCACTTGGCGAAGTGAAGCCTCCCCTCAGCGATCTTCTCTTCGGCCTAGTTAAGCTTTAGCTTCTCCTCTGGGGATACGGCGGCTATTTCCTGGAGCCGATTTTGAATGAGGAGGGCAGCCTTGTATAGCGCATTGGCTTTCATTCCCTCGCTTGACCGCTTTGGCCCGTTTCTGCGCTGGGAGCTGGTGAGTAAAGAAGGCTTTCTTCCTTCTCTTTGGTGAGCTGCACATTCTCAAGGTCCAAGTCTGTATTGACTATGGCACATGAGCGGCTTAACTTCCCCTGCGTCGTTTTTTCGACAGTAGCGTTGCAACTGAGATGACCTGCTCCCTCATATCAAAGGTGTAACCGCTGGCGACACGCAGAGAAGATTGCCCCCCCCCATGCCCGCCGGTGGTAGCGGTCACGCCTTCCACCGACATTTGGGCTCATATCCCAGCCCCGGTTTCTTCCCTTAAACCCTCCAGAATGGTTTCTTTTTCAGCGGTACCACCCACTTGCGTTTTATGCCTGCCGCCAGCCATAGCTTTCTTTCGGCTTTTTGGGCAGAAGAAATTCAACCGTAGCCTTTGTGAGACACTGTATTATCGCGGACGGGGCAGGCAGCGATGCATTACCCATATCTGTGTTAATATAGTGCCCATTGCCCTGCCGGCACCGTCTGGGAGGTTTTGCTGGAGATTTTTGCTAGCCATATTATTTTTTACAGTGCTATGAATTCATTTTTTTATTGAATGTGTTTCGTTATACTGTCCGTCAACATCAAATAAGCCTCCTTGGTTTACCAAAGAGTTGACCCGCCTCAAAAATAAAAAATCTAATCTGTATGCAAAGTATAAACCGGTTCTCAAACTGTGCTATCTAGTTATATATAGGCTCGGTCAACTTTTACCGTGCAGAACGCGCAGTATTACAATGATTTTTTGACTCGTTGCAGGGCTCCGTTTTCTGAGGACCCAAAACAGTTTTAAAATTTCTTAAAACTAAAAGTAAACCCAATACTCATTCTTCCTCGCTCTCTTTTGAAAACACAACAGCAGATAATGATCAGGCAATTCTCGATCGATTTGCTTAGTTTTGTCAAACTACTTACTTCAACTTAATAGACTTAAATCAGACTTATTCTTACATCATCCCCAAATCGAACCAAATTTTCAGTCCTACCTTAAACAAAAGCTCTCTTCTTTTAGATCTTCACCATATTAAGCCAGTTTTTTTGCCAGGTCCCAACGGAATACATGGCTATGTGCTTAGGAATTGTGCCGAATTCCTGTGTAATCCTCTTTTCAAATTGTTTACCTTTTCCTTAGAAACTTCTTACTTTCTTCGATAATCCTCCCCACAAAAATGGTAGCAAATTGGAGGCCAACAACTATAGAAGAATCTCTAAGTTGTCGGCCATCCCAAAACGGTTGGAAAATATCATTACTCCTCATTTGCCGCCCTGTGTAGGTCAATTATTCCATGCCAACATGGTTTTATTAAGCGAAGATCAATAACAACCAATCTTTTGGAGCTCACTTTCTCTATTATAACGGGCTACCGAAATAACTTTCAGACAGATGTAATCTATACTGATTTCAGTTAAACATTTGACTCTGTTAACCATTCTCTTCTTGTCCGGAAACACGACTTAATGGGATTTCCGATTGATCTGTTTAATTGGCTCTCATGTTATCTGAATAGCATTACGCAAAAGTTCTTCTTTAAAAGTAAACTTTCTAGTGTTTTTAGGGCTACATCTGGTGTCCCGCAGGGGAGTCATTTGTGTCCTTTATTGTTTACATTATTTTGACTAACTTCAGAGTTCTTATGTACGCTGATGACGTCAAACTTTGTGTGCAGTATAAGGACAATTCTACGGTCAGGTCAAAGTCCTCTCCTTCGTCGGACTCACCCAGCGTCATTCCCTAGGCGGCATCCACGATGGTTTCCAGACTTAGGTTCTTCCCCACTACGTCTGCCTTCTGGGTGTGTGCATCCTTATTCCCGGGGTGGCGCTTTTTTAAGGCGCAAGTATACGCTACCCATGCCCCACGCCGTCTTCCCGTATCTGGGATAGAGAATGTCCTCTGCCTTCTTGTTTATCTGGAGGACTGCACTTGGCGAAGTGAAGCCTCCCCTCAGCGATCTTCTCTTCGGCCTAGTTAAGCTTTAGCTTCTCCTCTGGGGATACGGCGGCTATTTCCTGGAGCCGATTTTGAATGAGGAGGGCAGCCTTGTATAGCGCATTGGCTTTCATTCCCTCGCTTGACCGCTTTGGCCCGTTTCTGCGCTGGGAGCTGGTGAGTGAAGAAGGCTTTCTTCCTTCTCTTTGGTGAGTTGCACATTCTCAAGGTCCAAGTCTGTATTGACTATGGCACATGAGCGGCTTAACTTCCCCTGCGTCGTTTTTTCGACAGTAGCGTTGCAACTGAGATGACCTGCTCCCTCATATCAAAGGTGTAACCGCTGGCGACACGCAGAGAAGATTGCCCCCCCCCCATGCCCGCCGGTGGTAGCGGTCACGCCTTCCACCGACATTTGGGCTCATATCCCAGCCCCGGTTTCTTCCCTTAAACCCTCCAGAATGGTTTCTTTTTCAGCGGTACCACCCACTTGCGTTTTATGCCTGCCGCCAGCCATAGCTTTCTTTCGGCTTTTTGGGCAGAAGAAATTCAACCGTAGCCTTTGTGAGACACTGTATTATCGCGGACGGGGCAGGCAGCGATGCTTTACCCATATCTGTGTTAATATAGTGCCCATTGCCCTGCCGGCACCGTCTGGGAGGTTTTGCTGGAGATTTTTGCTAGCCATATTATGTTTTACAGTGCTATGAATTCATTTTTTTATTGAATGTGTTTCGTTATACTGTCCGTCAACATCAAATAAGCCTCCTTGGTTTACCAAAGAGTTGACCCGCCTCAAAAATAAAAAATCTAATCTGTATGCAAAGTATAAACCGGTTCTCAAACTGTCCTATCTAGTTATATATAGGCGCGGTCAACTTTTACCGTGCAGAACGCGCAGTATTACAATGATTTTTTGACTCGTTGCAGGGCTCCGTTTTCTGAGGACCCAAAACAGTTTTAAAATTTCTTAAAACTAAAAGTAAACCCAATACTCATTCTTCCTCGCTCTCTTTTGAAAACACAACAGCAGATAATGATCAGGCAATTCTCGATCGATTTGCTTAGTTTTGTCAAACTACTTACTTCAACTTAATAGACTTAAATCAGACTTATTCTTACATCATCCCCAAATCGAACCAAATTTTCAGTCCTACCTTAAACAAAAGCTCTCTTCTTTTAGATCTTCACCATATTAAGCCAGTTTTTTTGCCAGGTCCCAACGGAATACATGGCTATGTGCTTAGGAATTGTGCCGAATTCCTGTGTAATCCTCTTTTCAAATTGTTTACCTTTTCCTTAAAAACTTCTTACTTTCTTCGATAATCCTCCCCACAAAAATGGTAGCAAATTGGAGGCCAACAACTATAGAAGAATCTCTAAGTTGTCGGCCATCCCAAAACGGTTGGAAAATATCATTACTCCTCATTTGCCGCCCTGTGTAGGTCAATTATTCCATGCCAACATGGTTTTATTAAGCGAAGATCAATAACAACCAATCTTTTGGAGCTCACTTTCTCTATTATAACGGGCTACCGAAATAACTTTCAGACAGATGTAATCTATACTGATTTCAGTTAAACATTTGACTCTGTTAACCATTCTCTTCTTGTCCGGAAACACGACTTAATGGGATTTCCGATTGATCTGTTTAATTGGCTCTCATGTTATCTGAATAGCATTACGCAAAAGTTCTTCTTTAAAAGTAAACTTTCTAGTGTTTTTAGGGCTACATCTGGTGTCCCGCAGGGGAGTCATTTGTGTCCTTTATTGTTTACATTATTTTGACTAACTTCAGAGTTCTTATGTACGCTGATGACGTCAAACTTTGTGTGCAGTATAAGGACAATTCTTGCCAGTCAGACTTACAGACAGATCTTAACAATTTTCAAACATGGTGCCGCGTGAACTTATTAAACTTAAATAGCTGTAAATTCAAGCTTATGACATTCTCCCGTGTCGTTCCGAAGCCTGCAAATTATACGCTGACCGGCTGCTCTTTAAAAAGAATTAATATAGTTGATGATTTGGGTGTCCGTCTGGATCCTAAGCTTGACTTTATAGATTACATTTCGTGTATGATGAATAAATCCAGGGGCGGGATTGGTTTCAGTAAACGGTGGTTTTTACTTCTCGCCTTACGCGGTTTAAATTGGGATGCAAACCAGAGGTTACCGACGTGTACTAGTAGACTCCAACTATTTAATTTACCCTTTTTATCTTATCGTAGAATCGTAGGTATTACATTCATTTACAACCTAATCCCCGGTGACGTGGAAACTGCTGACTTGCTGGGTCAGATTAATTTCCGAGTAGAAACACTGGATCCTTTATACCATTAGTTTTGCCCCACTGTAGAATATCCTTTGAACTGAATTAGCCCTTTTAATTACAATGATTTTTACACCATAACGTCTTATGTGGATAGCCTTCCTAAACTAAAATCTTAAATCTTAACCCACTTAGTACGGATGCAAGCAACCAATCCGGCAGCACGCCAGTAGTAGTTTCCTCGTATCCTTTTCTATTTATTTCCTTTGCGACTGCTAAGACCGAACACGAAAAAGCACGTGCTTGGTGAAGAAAGGTCCATAGTGCAACAATATAAAAAAAAAAAATAAAATAAGAATATCTTTGGAGTATGTCAGCTAAATGTAACAATAAGGGCATATATCACTTATATTTTTAAGGCATACATGACTGTATTTTCTTTTTGACTTCTTTATATTATAGATTGACATGGTGGACGATGATGAAAGACGTTGGCGTCATTTCAATCCAGAAATTCCGAAGCGATCAGGAAAAATTGGTGAACTGGAAAAGTTTGATGCTACTTTTTTTGGAGTGCACTTTAAACAGGCCCACACAATGGATCCTCAAACAAGAATTCTTATAGAGACTGCTTATGAAGCTGTTATAGACTCGGGTATAAACCCTAAAAGTTTACGTGGATCAAAAACTGGAGTGTACATAGGATCTTGTATATCTGAATCGGAAAAAACCTGGTTTTACGAAAAAGTTTCTTCTGGCGGTTTTGGTATCACTGGGTGTAGTAGAGCTATGATGGCTAACAGGATTTCATATTGCTTAGGACTGGAGGGTCCTTCGTTTTTACTTGACACAGCTTGTTCAAGCTCAATGTACGCCCTAGATAATGCATTCAGCGCAATTCGTAACGGGGAGATTGATGCTGCAATAATTGGTGGATCGAACTTACTACTTCATCCATTTGTAACGCTCCAGTTTGCACGGTATGTAATAATATTTTATTGTTATAATTAATTAAACGCCTGTGAATATTGTAGACTTGGCGTTTTAGCGCCAGATGGATTTTGCCGTCCATTCGACAAAAATGCCAATGGTTATACTCGATCGGAGACTATTAATTGCCTATTTTTACAACGAAAACGAGATGCTAAGAGGGTTTACGCAAGTATCGTATATTCAAAAACTAACTGTGATGGATACAAACCAGAGGGTATAACATATCCGTCCGGTACAGTTCAAGAAAAGTTACTTGACGAATTTTACAAAGAGATTGACTATTCACCAAAAGATATTGGTTACTTGGAAGCTCACAGTACTGGAACTGTTGTTGGTGACCCGGAAGAGTGTAAAGCTATCGATAATGTTCTATGCAGTCAAAGGCAAGAACCGTTGTTAGTTGGCTCCGTAAAGTCAAATGTGGGTCATTCAGAAGCGGCTTCCGGGATCTGTTCACTAGTTAAAGCTTGCTTTGCTTTTGAAACTGGACTAATTGCACCAAATATAAATTTTTCAGAGGTTAAGCCTGTAATTGCTCCATTAGCCCAAGGAAGGTTGGTTGTAGTAAAAGATGTAACTCCCCTTCCAAAGCCATGCATAGGAATAAATTCGTTTGGATTTGGTGGAGCTAATGCACATGCTCTTTTACACGGCTATTTCAAGTCAAAGACAAATTTTGGATTGCCCTTAGATGGTGTACCAAGACTTCTTACCTGGGCTGGTAGAACGGAGGCTGCTGTTGAGGAAATATTTAATGCCGTAGAAAAAAAACCATTGGACGCCGAATTCATCGGATTACTTCAAAATATTCAAGAAGAAGATGTGTCCGGTATGGTGTTCCGGGGCTACGCAGTTTTTGGCAATGAAGGAAAAGAACCGACCAAATCATTAGTAAGAGATATTCAACATTACACTGGACTCCAGAGACCTATTGTTTGGGTTTATAGCGGAATGGGCTCACAGTGGTGCGAAATGGGCAAATCTCTTATGATAATTCCACGTTTTCGTGATTCCATCCAAATATGTCATCAAACGCTACTCCCGAAAGGACTTAATCTTATACAGATATTAACTTCCAATGATCCTGAAACTTACGAAAATATTTTGAATTCATTTGTGGGAATTGCAGCTGTACAAATTGGACTAACAGATGTCTTGCGATCTCTTAATTTTGAGCCAGACTATATAATTGGCCACTCCGTTGGTGAATTGGGATGCGCATATGCGGATGGTGGACTGTCTCCACAACAAATGATTCTGGCGGCCTATTACCGTGGTAGGGTTAGTGTCGACCTAGAAAAAATAAAAGGTGCAATGGCAGCAATCGGAATTGGCTACAGAACTATTTTACATATGTTGCCTGATTCCATTGAAGTGGCTTGCCATAACGGTCCCGATTCGTGCACGATATCTGGACCAATTGATGATGTAAATCAATTTGTAAGTGAACTAAAAGACAAAGGAATTTTTGCCAAGACCGTGCCTTGTTCGAATATAGCTTATCATTCAAAATATATTGCCCATATGGGGCCTCCTTTACTGCAATACATGAAAGAAATTATACCGAACCCAAAAGCTAGAACAACAAAATGGTTAAGTACTAGTGTTTCTAAAAGTGACTGGGATGAAGCTGAACGCAAACTTTGCTCAGCTGAGTATCACACAAATAATTTATTAAACAGTGTACTTTTTGAAGAGACATTTTCTATGCTTCCCAAAAATGCATTGACTATTGAAGTGGCACCACACGGACTGTTGGGTGCTATATTAAAACGTTCCATGCCGAATGGCATACATATTCCACTTACCAACAGGGGAAACAAAAATAACGCACTGTATTTCTTATCGGCCCTTGGAAAGTATGTATGAATAATTACAATAAATTATAAATTTAAATGTTATATTATTTCTCATTTTATAAAGAGTTTTTCAGAATGGAGTTTTACTACCGGTTGCTAAATTATACAAAAAAATTGAATTTCCGGTTTCTCGTTCAACACCCAGCATAAGCTCGCTTATTCGTTGGGATCATAGCGAAGATTGGTTCGTCACAAAATACGAAAATATGAAAACGAAATCCAGCGGAGAGCGTATTTTTCCTGTTAACTTAGCAAGTGATAATGAAGAGTTTATGAGTGGCCATGTCATAGACGGAAAAATTTTAGTACCAGCTACGTGCTATTTGCAGTATGTTTGGGAAACATTCTCTTTAATGTACCATGGTCCGAGTTATATGGACGTACCTGTCGAATTTGAAGATGTACGATTTATAAGAGCTACAAATATGCCCAGTAATGGAGAAGTAGAATTGAACGTTATGATTCACTATGGTACTGGACATTTTGAGGTAAGTTACCAATCAAAATTTCAAAATTATTTTTTATTTAGATGTAGTAAAAAAAATTTTCCGTATTTTTTAGATAACTGAAGCGGGTAACTTAGTGGTTACCGGTATTATTCGTGAAACTAAAGATTCAATCATTCCGGAGGTTTATTATTTTCAAGAAGAATCTGAGTTTCCTATGATTTCTAAGAAAGACTTTTACAAAGAATTGAGATTACGTGGATACCATTATAATGGTGCATTTAAAGCAGTTCATTCAGCCCGTTCTGATGGTCTCTTTGGCAAAGTTGAATGGAATTACAACTGGGTCACTTTCATGGATGCAATGCTTCAAATTCATATACTTGGAACTGATTCACGAACCCTTTTACTACCAACGAAAATTCGAAAACTCAGAATTAATGGCGTTCATCATTTCGATTTAATGACTAAAATGGATTCAGAAAATCGCATCTTTAACGTATATGTAGATCACAAATTCAACCGGATCATAGCCGGCGGTATTGAGCTAATAGGATTACATGCTAGTCCCGTTCAAAGACGTAGGCCTCCTGGTATTCCTGTCCTTGAAAAATCTGTTTTTCTGCCTTATTCTATGTCTAAATTGCAATCTTTTAAAAATGCGGCTCGTATTTGTACTCAACTTGCTCTTGAGAACAATCTCACATTTAAAATGAAGTTAGTGGAAGTAGATACAGATGGTAGAAAAACAGTATTAAGCGATTTTATTGAATCAATTGAAGACTTACCAGTTATTACGGCTGACTATGTACTTTTTACACCACAAAAGCTAGAGGACATCCCGGGAGTACACATTGAAAATGGAAGTCTTTCTTCTCAAACAAATTGTCATTTTCTGATATGTGGAGAAATAAATCAGAGTTTAATTGAAGCTTCTAAAAAATCTCTTGTCGAAAATGGATTTTTATTAATTCGAGAGAAAGCTTATTCGAACATTAAAGCATGGGAAATTTTAGAGAACTTTCGAACGATTACCATAATTCCAATTGAAAACAATGAAGAAACATTTGTTTTAATGCAAAAATCAAAGCAAAACATAACGATTCAGCCAGTCGTTGTAAAAGTATCTCAAGATGATAAATGTTTTAATTGGATTGGATTAATACAGTCAGCGATAAATTCAAAAACACCAGTTATTGTATATTCATTCAACGAAGAATTTAATGGTGTTGTAGGATTAGTAAAATGTTTGAGAAAGGAGCCAGATGGTAATTTAGTTAGATGTTTCTTTATAGATGATAAAAGTGCTCCCGAATTTGATTTGAACCACCAGTTTTATTTGGAACAGCTAGCTTTAGGCTTGGCATTCAACATTTATCGCAATGTAAGATTAATTTTTTTATGTAAACATTTACAATTTATCTTAACCTAAATTGGTTTTAATCAGGGTGCTTGGGGAACTTTTAGACATTTACCATTGCTTAAAACTGATAAGCGAATGTCTAGATTGGATCACATCTATGGAAATATTATTCAGCGTGGAGACTTGTCAACTTTAAAATGGTTTGAGGGACCACTCTCTCCACAGAACTGCAGGATAAAAGTGGCATATTCATCTCTTAATTTTAGAGATGTAATGCTTGCAACTGGTCGATTAGCGGTTGAACTGTATGGATCTAGTCGCATAGATCAAAATTGTGTTCTCGGCTTCGAATATTCTGGGATTGATATGAAAACTGGACGTCGCATTATGAGTATGGTTGTTAAAGGAGGTGTGGCATCTTATGTGGAGCAGCCTTCGAAGCTTATATGGAATATTCCTGATCATTGGTCATTAGAAGAGGCCGCCACGGTGCCTGTGGTTTATATAACGGTTTACTATGCATTCTTTATGGCTGGTGATATAAGAAAAGGAAAAAGCATTCTTATACATGCCGGAACTGGAGGCATTGGACTGGCTGCAATTAGGGTTGCCTTAGCATATAACTTAGAAGTTTATACGACTTGCAGCACACCCAAAAAAAAACAATTTTTATTGAAAACCTTTCCCAAACTAAAAGGTAATGTAAAATCGGGTCCACTGATTAAAATATTTATAGTTAATTTAAATTTGTACATATACTACAACAATAAAAATATCTATGGTAGTAAATTAATTTTGAGAAATGCGTTGCTTATTTAATTTAATTCAGCTCTTATCATTTTTGTAAGTTGTTAGTAATGCAATTACAGTTGCCCTATACTAAGGGATTGTCTTTTTGTCAGTTATTTGTTTTTTCAACTTAAGAGCTAATAAGTTTTTTAATATAGCTGTTTGATTTCGGTGGCCTCTCAAGAAGTATATACATATTAGCAAATAATATTCGGTGGATAATATTTTATTTAATATGAAAATTAAATAATTTTTGTTTATTTTTTTATTGTGTTTAAAATTTTAGAGTCACATATTGGAAATTCCCGAGATACATCATTTGAGGTAATGGTGCAGCGTGAGACAGATGGAAAAGGTGTGGATTTTGTATTAAATTCGTTGTCCGAGGAAAAGCTACTTGCTTCGGTCCGTTGCCTCGGTAAATCAGGACACTTTCTGGAAATTGGCAAATTCGACATGGCAAATGATAATAAGATTGGATTAGGATGCTTTTTAAAAGAGATAACATTCCATGCTGTGCTTGCTGATGGTCTTCTTGTAGCTCCCGATGAAGATATTTGGGTAAAATTTACATCAAATTACATAATGGCGATTAATAATATAAATAATTTTTTGTAGTATCTTAAAGGCCTAATTGATGCAGATATTACCAAAGGCATTATTCAGCCATTACCAGTCAAGGTCTTCGCAGCTCATGAAATTGAGAATGCTTTTAGGCATCTTATTGGAGGGAAACACATTGGAAAAGTTGTTATTCAACTTCGCCAGAATTCAGATGACCCAGATACACTACCAGTACAAGTGCTGAAGCAAATTTATTTTAATAAGAATTTGAGTTATATTGTCCCTGGTGGACTGGGAGGTTTCGGCTTGGAGTTGGTTGACTGGATGGCTTTGCGAGGTGCCCGAAAGTTGGTTCTTAGTTCTAGACATGGAATTACAAAAGATTATCAATCATACAGAATGGCGTAAGTTTTTTATTTATAATTTTTGATCATTAATTGTTATAAATTTTTTGATCAGACTTTGGAAGTCTTACGGCTGCGAAGTTATTATAAATACGGCGGATATATCAACAAAAGAAGGATGCCAACAGCTTATTTCTGATGCTGCTAAGCTAGGGCCAGTGGGAGGAATCTTTAATCTTGCAGTTATATTACGAGATGGAACTTTTGCAAATCAAAATGAATCTCACTTTCTAGAATGTTTTTCGCCCAAAGCGATTGCTACAAAATATCTAGATGAGCTATCTCGAATTTTTTGTAATCAACTGGAACATTTTGTGGTATTTTCAAGTGTATCTTGCGGACATGGAAACGCAGGACAAACAAATTATGGCATGGCTAATTCAATAATGGAACGTATTATAGAGTGTCGTAACAGAGACGGTTTTCCAGCAAAAGCAATTCAATGGGGTGCAGTTGGTGAAGTGGGCTTAGTGGCAGATATGGCAGAAGATAAAATAGATGTAGAAATAGGAGGTACCCTTCAGCAAAGAATTTCTTCATGCATACAAGAGCTTGATAATTTACTAAGTTCCAAAGATCCAATAGTTTCAAGCATGGTAGTCGCTGAAAAACGGACAGGACGATCGGGAAATGAAAACATTGTTGATGCCGTTATGAATATCATGGGTATTAGAGACTTAAAGACAGTGTCACTCGGGACTACCCTGTCAGAAATGGGAATGGATTCATTAATGGCCGTTGAAATTAAACAAACCTTAGAGCGTGACTTTGAGTTAATTTTATCACCTCAAGATTTACGCCAGCTCACGTTTCAAAAACTTCAAGAGTTTGTTGAGGCTAACGAAAAGGAAAATAATGACGGAAAAAAATAATATTTTCATCAGAAAGCAATATTTTGGGTATGGAGTTACTAATTAGAAACTTGGGCAATGAAGCATATTGCAATCAAATAATTTTTCCACTCACCACATCTGCTAATACTTCCAAAAAGACCCTTCCCCCAAATATTATAATACCTGGATTGGAAGGTACAGCTGGACGCGCCTGGTACCAAATAGGATCAACTTTGCAAAGTACGGCCATTGTTTTACAGCTCCATCAACTAGCACATCTGGAAACAGTTCTCGATATAGCTCAACAAAGCTTTGAAGTAAGTTAAACTGTTTATTTAATAACAAACATATTATTTACTTTGATTTTTTAATTAATAGCATATAAGACCAATTTTAAAACAAACTGAACCGTTTTATATAATTGGATACTCGTTTGGAACCCTCGTAGCTCTTCAACTAGCCGGGATGCTTGAAAATGCAGGATTTCGTGGCCACATAATGTTGCTTGATGGAGCACCTCATTTTTTGAAACGACTTACTAATCTTCAGTTGGGATCCACTTTTTCAGATAATGACCTCTACGACCTTCTTTTTTCTAGTATTGTAAATCAGATATTTCCCGAAGAAACTAAAGAATCGGTAGCCGAAGCATTCACAAATCTAGGAAACATTTCAGATAAGATGTCTTTATTTATGCAATATGTTGATAAGCAGAATGTATACAGCAAAGAATATTCTGCAACTATGATAAATGCCATGTTTAGAAGAGTAAAAATGACTTATTCTCTTGATTTAGACAGTATAAGAAACTTAAGGTCCCCGATTACTCTAGTCCGTCCAGCTGAAGTTTCACTTCAAGATATAGAAGAAGACTATTGTGTTTCGACAATAACATCTGGTAAAGTTGCTCTAAAAGTAATCGAGGGCAATCATACGACTATGTTGGACAATCCAATATTGAGTCAAATAATAAATGACTTTGACCCGACACTATTAGATGACAAAAATTTTGAAGAATATATTAAAAATGACAAGCCTGTTTCTGTAGTATAAATACTTTACTACATTAATATTATATATTATGTAAAAGACAATTTGTGACTAAAAGTTGTTAAATTAATTAGTTCTTAATATATATACAAATTAACATTAAATTTTATAAATTTATATATCAATTACATTTTTTTTCATAACAATAGCTACTGTTGCACCAGCTGGATGTACAGGTTGCTTCTGTGGACGTGTTTTGACCCGTGTTCTCCGGTCTCCTCCAAACTCTGGCGTCTCCTGTCCGCCTGTTCAGTCACTTGAGTCCGAGGTAGTATTTTGGTGATGCTCTCGTGGCACAGGGCGTGGCCTGTCAGCTGGCTTTGGGAAGCGATGCTCTGGGGGGTTTCGCAGGGGGGCAGCTAGGCCTGGAGGCTAAGGGTCTGTCCTCCGCACTAGATCGTGGTTCCAATACCGTACTGAATGTCCATGCCAAGGAGTACGTTTTTCAGGACATCCGATATGACGAGAAGAACGGTGGATGTTTCTCCCTCCTCGCTAATGAAGCTGTGGGTAGCTCCGGTGTCCAAGATGATCATGAGAGAACGTCCCTCCATGATGATGTGATGACTTCGGCATTCTGCAGGTAACAGTTCCTACAGGCGTCGCAAACGTTGATTAATTCCGTCAGAGGTAGAGATGCCGTATTTTGGCTCATGAAGGTGTGTGGACATAGATAACTGTTTAATGAGATGTGTGGATGCGTTGGCGGCGTACGAAAATCCTGCCTCCAAATTAATAATTAATATTTGGGTAACATATTCTCATAGATCATTTCCAGCTTTCGATTGGGGAGAGAACCTGCGCGGAGCATCTATAGTTTAGTAACCAAGGTTTACTACAAGGCAACTTAATGGGGATGGCCCAAAAGTAGGCAATAGTGGCCCTAGTTGTGATCTTATACAAATAGAAAGGACTCTCTTTCCTTTCTATTACTATTAGAGGTCGCGGTCATATAGTGGTGAGAGAACTATGTTAGAGATAGCTAGTCGCACTCGGATTCGCTTAAAAATGGAGTCCACTGACAAAGTCATAGCGGCAAGGGATTCGGCGGGCTTTCCATTTGGAGCATAGAAGCGAGCAGTTGGAGTCTGTGCCAGGAAAAGTCTATAAATTATATTTCAACACAAAAAAATAGCCAAGTTAAAGTGTTCTTTTCCCTGGTTACGCTCAAACTTTACTTTATTATTTGAAAAATACCAACTATCTGTGGGTTACAGGGGTGAGTGTCGTCGATCGCGATATATACAAAAAGAAGCATATGTTAATTTGTGGATCGTAGCTCCAGCCAAATTGTCACTTGGAGCTGCTGTGAGGGCCAGCCGGGATCGACGTCATCAGCAAACCCCCTTTTTTCGCCGCTAAACAACCAAAGCGCAGTTCCGTCTCTCTCGGCGATATTTTGTTTGTGCATTACGCACCCTGTGCCAGCTGGAGGGCAGTGCTGGTAATTTCGCCGGAGCAAACGGACGCGCGAGCGTAATAGCAGCGGGCGAAGCGAGGAGATCCGGCCAAATTCCGGGGAAAGGCGTCGGAAAAACGCTCGTGGAAGTGGCAGACGTGCGGCCAATTCGGGAGAAAGCTGCGCGAGTGTTGCCGGTGGAGGAAAAAGTGAAAAAATCTGAGGGAAAAACCCTTCAAGGAGGCCAAGCTGCCTGCCTCACCGATTTGCCGTCTTGTTCTAACCCCTTATTTTCTCGTGAATTGCTAAATCAAAGCCAGCCGGAATCCAAATTAATATTGGTTTTTCGGTAGTTTAGTGTTATTTAGTTTTTTCTTTATTTTAATTTTTTTTGGTGAACAAGCAAAGAGAAAAAAGTTCGTGAAAATCCGTTAGAGCAGATGTGAGAAAAAGTGTAACAAAATGTGAAGAAGTACGGCAAAACTCCAGCTTCTGTCTTTAATAGACCATTCCAAATAAATGAGAAGTCTTCATTCGTTGAGTTTTTGTAAGAAACTAGTTTATTTCTTTCCAATCCTAGCTTATATAGCTAACATGAGAATGTACATTTAGATATTAGTTCTAGACCCACGCATCGGACAGTTCCCGATCGTGGGAAATATTTTAAGTGAGATAAGGGTGCACGCAGTCAACCCGATAGCACATATCTTGAACAAACCCAGACCGATCACAGGTGGTCATATTTCGTGGCGGGTTTACTTAAAGATAGACAAGTACAGTGCGCTGCGGCAGAGATTTATTTAATGCTTAACAGATGCATCTTATCTATTTACATGTTCATGTGTGAACATTCTGCCAAGGGCCAGCAAGATTCGGGGTACATTTAAATTAGTTGCAATAAAAAAGTAAGTGGACTGTATTTTATTTGTTTCATTCGATATAATTAATTTTGCAACTAACATTTTGCAAAGGCCTCCGTATCATGTCTTAATACATGTACAATTTTATTTCTTTTCATTTTTATTTTGAATTATTTTTCTTAATTTTTCTTAGACTTAACAATTTTTCTTTATCTTAAACATTTAGTATATTACTGGGGATAGCTATGGCTTGCAATTGCCTTCGTATTTTTATTTTCCTCGCAAAATATACAATCAATATTCTGATAATAATAATAGCCAACATTAAAGATGTATGGCCAGTAATATGATGAAAATCTAATTCATGTAATTTTAACTTATGCGTTTTTAAATCATTTATTTCATTTAACAGATTCTTAACTTTTACTGTATGATTTATCATAGTCGTACCTGACTGATCAAATATTACATTAGGTATTTCATTAACTTCACCTATATATGCCAAGAATATTGTCCCTTGATCTTCTAACTGAATCGTGTGGTGAGCTACTAGTATATCATTGTTCTATAAAACACTGAAACATGCCTACTAAACCAGGTATTTTTGTATTCATAATCTACTTCCTGTCAACGAAGAGTCCTCTAGCTTAGTAATGTATAAATTTCTTTAAATCAGTGCCTGTCCATTTTCCTAGCAACACTAAATTATCTGACAATAAGTCGTTTATTTTGGAAATTTATAGTTTTAACGGACTGGGCTTTAGCATGTTAGAATTAAGTCACCCATATTGATGTCAACAAAAAGGCCTATGATTCCGGATTGTACCCTTTCGCAATTATATACTCTATGTCGATATTTCTTTATTTAGTAAAAGCATTGCCATGATTACGCTAGCTTGATGTGGCTCTAGTTTTCCTTTTTGGCTGGGGGTTAAACTATCTATTATCCACGGACCTTATTTCTTCCAAGGGACAAATATTTGTAATGGGTCTTGTGATAAATCCATCTTGTGTTTTAATCTCAACCACTCGGACTTTATCACCATTCCCCTTATGGATTTTCTCTACCTTTCCTAAAGGCCATCTAGCTGGATGACAATTTTCATCCTTTAATAATATAAGTTGCCCTTCTTCTATGTTAGGGCATTCCCTTTTCCATTTATTTCTTAGCTGAAGTGTATGCAAATATTCATTTTTCCACTTCACCCAGAAATCTTTTTTCATTTTTTGGATTAGTTTCCACCTATCCAAATTTCCAATTCTCTCATCTTCCATGGCTTCGACTATTTCTAAGGGGGGGTCTTTCAATCAAAAAGTGACCTGGCGTTAAAACCTCTTGTTGGTCCATTTCGTCAACTATGGTATATAATGGTCTTGAATTCAAACATGCTTCTATTTGACACAGAAGCGTTGACATTTCTTCATATGTCAAACTACTGTCTCCGATTATTCGCTTTAAATGGTATTTCATTGATTTAACCCCAGCTTCCCAAATACCTCCGAAGTGAGGTCCTGCCGGGGGGATAAAATGCCAATCAATCCTATCCTTCTCTAGCTGCGCTGCAATCGCTATATTTTCCTGTATTGCATTAAATAAGTCTTGATCTAATTTTCTTGCAGATCCTACAAAGTTAGTTCCGTTATCTGAATAGATATTCGCACATTTTCCGCGTCTAGCTATGAATCTTCTGAGCGCTGCTAAAAGGTTTATCCCTCCATGCCATGGGTCAGTATGAGCATTTTTGATTACCAAGTTGGTTAGATAACATTTTCCTAAGATTATTGGATGTTTGACTTCAAATTCTGCATTTGAGTTTTGCAATCTTCCTCCCACCCTGAGTACGCCATGCTTGTCCAGGAATGGATTTAGTGACAATATTTTACTATTTGTCTTAATTTCTCTGTTGGTTTTCAGGCACCTTATTTCTTCTCTAAATTGATATTCTTGCTGTTTCTTTATAACCACCCTTTCAGCTTGTTTTAACTTTTTAATGAAAGAAAATATGGATAGCATTCTTTTTTTGTTTTCATCTGAATGAATCTATTTATATATGCTACTATACGTATAAGTTTTTCCATACTGGAATACCTTTCTATCAATTCGTAAATTGGATCATTTATTTCGTCATTCAATATTGTATTTATTAGTACAAATTCTTCTACCGTTTGTTGCCGAGGCCAAAGTTCTTTTGGGTTATATAGCCATTTTGGACCTTTCCACCAAAGATCACAGTTATTCAATTCCCCTTGATGCTAAATCTGCTGGATTGTCCTCTGATTTTACATGGTTCCATTCAGTATTTGTCAGTTTCCGAATGTCATCCGTTCTTCTTCTAATAAATTTGAGCTTACTCTGACCACTGTTAATCCATTCAATCTTTGGATCAATTCACTGAGCAAATGAGCTGCGCACAGCTCAAGTTTGGGAATTGTCTTTCTATTTTTTATTGGATTGACTCTACTCTTGCTGGCTATTATATTCACTTTATTTCCAACTTTAGCATACACTACTGCAGCTTTTTCGGACGCATCAGCAAATCCATGAATCTGTATTACTGTATGATTATTTGAATTAATCCATCTTGGGATTCGAATATTTTTTAAATGTAATAAATTTTCTTTATATTTTTCCCAATAATTTTTATCTTCTATGGATAATTCCTGATCCCATTCAATTTTATTTTGCCAAAGTTTTTGAATGAAAAGATTTCCTAAAATAGTAACAGGTGCCAACCATCCTAATGGATCGTATATTTTCGAAAGAGTTGATAATACAACTCTTTTGTTTTTACTACTTGATTCCGTACAATTTACTTTAAATTTAAATAAGTCATTTT